CTTGCATGTTCATTTAACTTCTTCATTTCAGAAAGTATTTGTAAAACATTTGTATGAAGATAGCAAGGACTCTATTAATAAATAATTGAGATTTTTTTGCCAAATATGATTGACAGTCTCTGTAATCTTTGCCACATAGATGGAAAAGAAATCACAAAATGTATCCTGCTGGCTCCAGAAATTCCTGTCTGCTGCACTGAAGTTAATGACATCTATAGACAACATATCATAGACATATATTATAGCACCATTTAGGTCCCAGCTTTCCACACATGTCTTGTATACTTGTTATTATAAATCTCAAAAGAGCAACTAAGGATTGAGCTGAGATCTCTGAACTGAAATAATGAAAATTACAATACATAAAATGATATGTATCTTTCCTGAAGTACAATCACATTAGACCCAGATCTGCAAATAGTTGTAAAAAATCACTTTACTCACATGGGCTCCTATGAGTTGGCTCTGCCATTGAATTCAATGAAACTGCTGATACACTTAAGTTCTTTCATGTCAGAATTGGAAATAAAACTATCACTTGAATATAATCACCCAGTGTAGAAAATATCTGGAAATAATGAGACATCTATGCTGGACATTTCAGCATTGATGGTTTGAAAAGCAAGGAATAGAAACAGCTTGTTCATCACTCCATAAAGGCTATGTTTTCAAGTGATTAAACTGAAAAGTGTTATATTTTGAAGTGTTATATTTGTGTGGCTGCGCAGCAAATAAATATAGAATACAAGATATGTTACACATTGCATGCACACCAAAAGCTGTTGAAGTTTCTGGGGGAAGTGTACATTGAATATGAGGCACAAGGGTGGAAAGTAGGGTTTGTGTTTCTCTACATATGTATATGCTCAATCAATACATCCTCAGATACAGCATGGATGCAGTACTTGTCTCTTTCCCAGTTCATCTGCTCCAAGCACATTCTGAGGCCTTGTCCCCGGAGAGCTTTCTGTATGTTTGATTTGCATGTGTTTGTAGTCCCTGCAGGGTGGAGCAGCTCCTGCAGAGCAGTGACTTCTTCTACTCTGCTTGAGTCAGTGGAGGTCACTTGGGATTCAGTCACAGCAGCAACAAACCTGAGGACTCTTGCCTGCAGCTTGTCATGATCCCAACAATATAGCTAAATTCCTTTATTTTCCCTCTGACTCTCACACCAGTTACGTAACTCATGTTAAAGAATACACTTTCACCCTTCCTATAATGACAATATTTTGTCACTGTAAACAAATGCTTATCTGACATGCAGGTACCCTAGTAACACAGAAATACCATTGGTACAGGCATGGATTAGTGAGTAAAAGACCTGGTTTCCAAGGTTTGCAAGTCCTGTAGTCTGCGACAAATGACAAATCCATGTTTCTTGTCTCACACTGGTTTATGGTTGTGCATTCTGCCTGAGTCTTGCAGGCTGTTGAGCAGAGAGCTGAGCAATCAGCTAGGTGTTGGTTTGTTTCTCTTGATAAGGACACTGTTACATGCTCTCTTGCATGGTCAGTCAGTACAGCATCCTTGTTTAACCTTTCAGCTAAGGCAGATGGTGTGATTCATTGGGTGTCCTGAGCAGGCCCAGGAATTGGACTCGATAATCCTCATCAGTCCTGTCCAACTCAGCATATTCTAGGATTCTGTAACTTTGTTTAACCATTTGCACAATATTAGGCTGGATCTTGCTGACTTCCAATCTTCTAATGATAAATTAGAGTGCTCTCTCCGATGAAAACCTAAGTCTGCAAGAAGACATTTCTCTTCCTTTGACTTCTCAGAGAAGTTAGTGAGTGGATCAGCCACCAGTGTGTAAGCTTGGAGGAGAAGCAAACATACCTTCCTTTTAATTTTGTACCCCACATGTTCTCTCTGAGTGCTGAACAAACAACTCAAATGTTATATTATCTGCTCTTGCTCTAAGTTACATTATCTGCTCCTGCTCTTGGACCTGGTTGACTGGGAAATGGAACCAGAAGGGAAAAATGGCTGTTTTTCCCAGTACTCCCTACCTAGGGAGAAGGTGGAAGAGCAGACCAGCAAGTCAGGCCTTCTGCTTCTCCCATAGAACCCACAGGAATTTCCTCTTTTGTGATAAAACACTGCTAATAACCACAAACCTGGACACTGGAGCAGTGGCTCTTCATGGAAGGACTCAGTATTATCCCTGTTTAAGGAGTGGGAAGAAGTGAAGGGAGGTGAAGCACCTGCCTCAAGCCACCTGGATGAGGGAGGGTCACCTCAAGACAAACACTGTTCACCTCTTCTCAGCCCCATCCTCCAAGGAGCCTATGACTTCTATAGAGTCTCAAGGCTCAGAAAGTCAAATGCCTTAATATTATGTAGCAAAAATAATGGCTATCCACCTAGAATCAAACTTTGCTGGGTCTATGTGCTTATGTCCAACTCCACCAAACCTGGGAATTTGATGAAAAGCTGCTGTCCATGCCTTAATGGAGGGTTATGCCTCCTTTTCCCAGGGTCAGTGGATCAGGAAATTACAGAATGGTTTTGATTGGGAAAAAACTTCAAAGTTCATCTACTCCAACAGATAATCTACTTCAACTAGAATAGGTTGCTCAGGATCCCATCCATCCTGGCTGCAAACACTTCCAGAGTTGGGACATATAATGCTTCTCTGGGCAACCTGTTGCAGTGTTTCACCAACCCCACAGTGAAGAAACTATTCTTTATATATATAATATATATTTACCCTCTTTC